GTAAAAACACTAAAATAGCAGTAAAAATACATAGTAAATTCTTATCTGATTAAGCTTAAATCTTCAAAGTTACATTCGAAGCATGTGCAACAACAGATGAAGAAAATGAATGTAGCATTCAATCGAAAGAATTTGATAATCAACTTAATACAGAAAACAATACATCCAATGCAACAGATAGTACGTACCCCAGTTTGAAATAAGTCATATAGTTAATAGCTAAGCAATTGAAGTATTGTACATGAATTTCAACATCAACCACAAAGCCCATTTCTTAACTATAAGAATCAACCAGGGCGGTCCTGAAATTTGGGTTTATAATCGACATCACTGCTGCAGCTACTACAAGATTATGGTAGCGATACGAATAGCTTATTTATTTTTTGAATCTTTGATTATCTGGCAGCGGTAAATAATATATGCTGCGGCAGAAACATCAATCATCAACCCAAACTTCGGGAACCACCCTGGCTTATTTTTAACTATAGATGATTTATATTAACACACGTGAACCATATTGCTAAATATGTAAAATCAGCAAATAATCTAACGAAATACCTTAATAGTTATAGTACCATCAGAAGATATCCCGAAAGAAACCACATTCAGAACCTGGGAAGAAGTAGAAATGTTTTTTTTTGAGTATGGAGCACAGAATGGATTTAGTATAAACAAATTTAGAGTGAAATGTAACAAAACTGGCTTAGTCTGTAGTAGAACCTTTACTTGTGAGTTTGGTGGAAAATATAAATCTCGAAAAGACCCGGCAGCAGCACAAAAGGGAACACAACATAATACAAAAACAAAGAGGATGGAGTGTCCCTGGCATGTAACCTTTCCTTTAGCGGACCTGGGTTTGAAATTAGAGTTACCACATTTGTTAATAAACATAATCATTTGCTCTTACAAGAAACTCAAGAATTTGGAAATAAATATAGATCATTAAGCGAAGAAGCCTTAAAGGAGGGTAGGATTATGACCAAACACGCGAATACCAATTGCTACGCAAAAAAAATTGCTCAAGACTCGGTTTCCCAATTTGAATTTTCATGACGATGATCTTCACATTGCAATTCAAAAAATTAAAAAATAAGGCTCAAGTAAGAATAATGATGCGTCAATCCTACTTACATCATTAATGAAAAAAAAGATGCTAGAACCACAATGGGTCGTCGAATTTGAATTAGATGAAGAAAATCATTTGACAAGGCTCTTGTGGATGTCACCTGAGCAGGTAAACCTATGGTTAAAATATCATGATGTGGTGATTAATGACAATACAGCACGAACAAATCAATATCAAATGCCATTAGGCCTTTTTGTAATTATTGACAACAATAGAAAGACATGGCTTGTTTGTCAAACATTAGTTAGTAATGAAACCTTAGATACATACGTATGGATTTTACAATCTATCAACAAAGCCACAAATAGACCCCCATCGTAATGTTCACTGATGCAGATCTAGCCCTGGATGCTACAATTCCCATTGTATTTCCCACTACATATGCAGCACATTGCATATTTCATATCAGCCAAAATCTTCCTAAAAACTTGAAGTCCAAATTAGGAGATAAGTGGAAAGAATTCATTAAGGAATTTTATCAATACAGAAACAGTTTGTGTGAGCTACTCTTTGAAGTTAGATGGAATAATATACAACAAAAGTATCTCATGGCAAAAGACTATCTATGCAGAGTTCTTAATCAAAATCATCGGTCATGGGCACGTGCATATTTGTCTAAGATTTTTACAGCTAGTACTGAGAGTACTGCACGTGTAGAAGGATACAATAGGATAATTAAGAAAGAAATTAGAGCAAATGGTACATTATGTGAGCTCGCTGACCGCCTGGACAGAAGATTAAAAGATGAAACACAATGGAAGTGATTCCATGAGTACAAGATGTTAACAACAGCCTCAACAGTACCTACAACTAGCCACGATCTCTTCCCTGAAATAAATAAGGTTTTTGATGAGTATTTGACTGATGCGATTAGTAATGCAATTAAACTCGAAATAGGTGAATGTCTGTTAATGAATGCGAATAAGATTGAACCTACAAATGAAGATTAAACAGGTAAAAATTAATGAGATATTAATAATCATTATGTGTAATATAATTTAACAATAAAAGAATGATATAGGAAATCAATGAACAAACCCATAATGGATTTTTGAAAGATCAAGAAGGTGTGTGAAATATAATGCTTCAGACTAAGATCGATGAAATTGGATGTGAAGATCTAAAGGAAATTTGGAAGATTATAGATTTGCGAGATAGAAAAAAGCATCATGTTCACTTTGTAGTGATTATTAATCCAATTTCTTATTTGTGCTCATGTCTAATAAACATTTCCAAAGATATTATATATTGATATTATTTTTGTGTCATGATATATTCAAATACAGCAGCATTTCATATATCGATAGTACCTAGCTGAAGGTATAAGGATTCATATCAGGATCAAGTAATATTAGAAGGAAATAATTTAGTATTCAAATACAACAAAAGCATGCATGATCCAAACCCAAATAATGATATAATTCGCAAACCAATCAGTATGCCAGTTACTATACAAGTCACCTTTCCAACTATAAAGAAAACCTATTCACAAAAGAGACAGATATGGGAGAATCTGGGGACTAGCACGTGAGGCAATTCTACTCACTGTAGACAATGATGATAATGAAATAATTCAGATCCTAACAAAATACATCAAAAAGTTGAAAAGTAAAAGTGAAGTTAGAACATTAATGGATGATGAACTTTTGCGGCCTATAAATCAACATAATATTACTACAATAAAACAAACTGTAATGGCTATAAGTTCATCATCTAATCCTATAATTTATAATAATCCAAGTCTTTCAACAGCATTATATGTAAAGGACCCACACTTGTCTGAAACTGAGCAAGATTGTGAAATAGAAGAAGAAACTGACAACAGTACTGAACCTGCTACAGTAAACCTTAATGATATTCAAAATCCAACCAAAGTCAAGAGTAGAGGAAGACCTCTGAAATGTAGGTATATGAGTAGCATTGAAAAAGAGCAAAAGCGTGGAGAAAATTCAACTCGTGGCTCCTACAGGTGCCATATATGTGGTCAAACTGGTCACAACTCATCTTTTCATAAAAAATAAAACAAGATTAACTTATGTGGCAAAGTATTGGAAAAGTTAGAAACTCAAAGAATACGTATAAAAAGCAAAGCTAAACCAGATTTGTTTTGTCAATGTTTGTTTAATAAAAGCTGATCAGAGCATGTACATATGCAAGTGTTATAGTGTGATTTACGTACGTATGTATGTACATATATACGTACTATAAGTGAATAATTAACTCTTGAAAGAATCGATATCACATTTCGCTAAGGGTCATATAATTGGATGGCTAACCAAAAGTGCTGAAAATAATGCTTTTTGTCCCACGCATGTGGCATGTAGCCCTTACCAGTTTTCTTTCTTTTCAATCCATTAACTCTTGTTAGTAATAATGCCAATGATTATTGTAACTTGTTGTAATAATAGTAAGTTACAATGCTATAACTTTTGCTAAGTTACAATAATCATTGGGATGATTCTACTACATTACAGCATTACTACTTGTTACTTAATTTAATACACATGATTAAATATGATAAAAAAAAAAGTATATATATATATATATGATATATACTTGTATCGCACCTATAGTGTGGTATATATTTATAACACTGGGTGCGGTATATAAATAATTCCTTTTAAAAAAACTTTTAATTTTATTAATAGGATTATGCAGTCATATGATTCCCGAAACTATAGCAAAAAATTAATATATGCTAGGATTAGGGTTAGAGAAAGGCAAAATTGTGTGAGGAAAGCGAAAGTTTGTTTTTGATTTTCTTTACATTACACATAACCCTGATTTTTAATTGGTTAACTAATATTGATCCTATTCCCAGAAAATTAGTAGCCTTGCCCCTGACCCAATCAGGATCTGCAGGCTGCATATTTATAATTTATAGTACACTCCTCATAGACAGACTTTCGTCTGATTGGCTGATGTAAATTAATTGCCCGGGTAACTTATTTATACACTTTAAAGTACTTTTTTTAAAATTGTAACATTTCACTAACAAAGATCCGTTTAAAAATCATCTTTAGCTTCAAATGAACGCTAATATTAACTCTACAAAATAATCTCAAATAATCTCTAAATTTGACAGACTTTACTTAGAAGGCAAAATATGCTTCTCGTTTATTAGACAATATGAATTTATTTTTATAAAAACACTATAGACAGTTAACGAACCAAAAGAAAGGTAAACAAAAAAAAATGTATTTGTTAATGACTCAATTAAGCTGATCTAAATAAACAACTACTAACCATTTACCTTGGCATAGTAGGTGCAAGTTTGTTATAGTGAAAAAAATTAGGTTTATATTTAAGTTAGTTTGGTTCTTGTAATGTTTTTGGGTTTATTGATCATAGGTGGTAGATTTGAGCTTATTGACAATAAAAACATATTATGTATGTGCTTGGTTTTGGTAAAAAATATTATTTCTAGCATTTCCTGTATATATTTTAGTTATTTAAAATAAAATTTTGACATTTTTGCTTCTTTTGTATATATCCAGTATTCTCTTGTTTTCTATATAATATTGCAAAATAAAATAATGTTATTCAGTAATTTAATTGGTTAATTATCATGGGTAATCACAGGTAGATCTACAAAAATTAACCAATCAAACGAATGTCTTTCTATGAGTACACTCCCCTGATAGTGATAACTGAAATTTCAATAATCACAATGATCTAATCTAATTTGATCATGATCATAGCCATATATAAAACATAATTTTTTTTATTGCAAATCAGTTTTAGTTGAATAAGCAAAGTTGTATATTATAATAATTAGTATATAATCTGAAATTTTAAAAAATTTAATAAATTTTTGGAGATTATTTTTTAATATTTTAGGTCAAAGTAAATAAAGAAAAAAAATAAATAAAATTTTTATATGACAATGCATTTTAAACTGTATTATAAATATTTATTAAATTTAATAAGATTATTTCTCAAGTTCTAAAGCATCTAGGATTAAATTTTTATAAAAAAAGACAGATTTTTGAGAACCAATAGATTTAATTAAAAATTTTAATTTTAAAAAAAATATATTTTTTGTATCTTAAAATTTTATATAATGTTATTACTGCTTTGAATTTGAACTCAATACAGAGTGCAAGCAGAAGGGAGTAATAATTTGGCAGTTTGATAACAACAAAAATATAATATTTAAAAGAGACAAGACAAAAAAAAAACAAAATAAAACTTTGGAGTCTTAGTATGTAATGAGCTAATAATTGTTATGCTTTATTAGAGTTTGTAAAAGAACAAGAGACACATATGGTTTAGCAATGGCATACTTTTGTAGCCTTGTAGTAAAAGACAAAAAGATAAAGAGACAAAATAATAAAAGAAATAATACTTTATTATTTATAAATGAACTTTTACAACAAGAAAAGTTTAAAATATAATAATATAAAAAAGATATAACCAAAAAAAGGTGAAATGTAAAAGTTATTTTGCAAAAAGTGGGAGATGGGGTCTATTTATAATGTTTTGAAGCTAATTTTCATATAAGATCATGTGATACACAGATGACAATCCTTTGTAACATAATTAAAAATTACATATTACACATTAGAAAATCAAAGAATGATTTGGAATATCTTTGATTTATGAAAGATTTTACTATATTAAGAGCTAAAGATTTATTAAATAAAGTTGTTCTACGGGTCAAAATACTAGGGGTTTTATAGAATCACTTTTAAGATTGTCCTGATAAAATTTTAAGAAAATTGGTTCTAAAGTTACATGAAATATATACTACATAAAGTTAATAGTATAATATAGGCGTTTTTGTAAAATATAGATAGTAAAGTATATAAAAGATAATAATAAATAAAATAATATAATAATAATAATAAGGATAAAAAAAAAAAACTCTTCCTATAGATCATTTTACCAAATTAGAAACAAGAAGAAAAAACTTTCCTGTGGCATTTTCTCAAAAACTTATTAAGTAAATTGATATCCGGCTCTTAAGTAAAGTTATCCAGCACCCTGTAAACTAATTAAAGGAGGTGCGAAGTTTGTCAAAAGACTTCACCATGACAAGTTACTAGCAATAAACACCAAAAGCAGCAACAAAGCAGTTTTTCGATTCTTCCACGAAAGCGGTCTTAAGGACCCCCAATATTCATATAATCAAAAAGATAATACAAATAGTGCTTTAAGCAAAAATAATCAGCAACTACAAGTTTTACATCATATTAAGCCCCAAGACTCTAACAAAAACATGGTCTCCGAAAGCTCTTTTTCTACTGGAGTATTTTTTTCTGGAACACCAAGGCAGCCCTATCTGAAACCACTTTTACTATTAGCTCACCACTAGGCCTGGAGTTGAACATACCAAAAAATTTTTAAACATCACTATAAAAGACTGGTCCAAACTCACATTTTCTGTTAGCTTCTCTGTTTCTGAATATGCTGACAACTTCGTCTTTTACGTTGATATTACCAAATCTGAAAAGATCTTTAACTTAACCAACTACCTCTCATAGTAGTTATACAGACACAAAAATCTTGCCCAATCAGTTTTGTTCGAGCTTACATCTCAAAAAAGCGATATTGTTAATATCAGTGCCAAATATCCTAAACCTACCCAAAATAGTGATCTTGTAACGATCACAAACCTATATGAAGCCAGCATGAAACCTTATCTAAAAGCCAACGATACAGAAAATTTAGCCTCAATTCCGTACAATGCAATTACAAATCTTGATTCAGATAATGAGTCTAACAAAAGCTACAATGAGCAAGTTGTACACACAGCTACTAACACCAATCCCAGCTCTTTTCAAAACACAAACACAGGTTACACAGATACCAGTACAAGTAGTAATACTATGAACTCTGTGCTAACTACAAACAAGCCCCCTGACACAGTACTCAGGAACAGTATACCTACCAATTAAATCACCCAGCCTATACTCTCAGCACCAAGCTCTAGTTACATCCCAGCAGCTTCAAGTTCTAAAGTTAATCGCAAAAGATCTAGAGATCTTTCTAATATATCCCCACTTGCAGCAACTCCACACAAAGCCACCAAAGCGCTATTGCTACATCTACAGGTATACAAGCCAGCATATTGACAACTACTACAAGACCTACATATAGTCAAGTCATACAAACAAATCTTAACATGCTCAAAACAGAGGCTCCAGAAGATGAAATGGCATGGGCAGACGAAGTATATCTTAAAACCATTACACCTATTAACACACCCTTTGACACTAATTATTGAACCGTAGAAAAAATCACCAAAGCACTCGAAACCCCTGAAGGTATTTATGAATTTACTAGCCACAAGCTTATTACTACTCCAACACAACACAAGCTTCCTAAAGCAATTGCTCTCAAGTTTACTCACCAGGACACCAGATTCTTTACTACCTTCACTCGCAACCCCAAGACCACCCCTGAATATCAAAAAGAATACAATGAGATTTTCAACAGAGCCCTAGCAACATATAAACAAGATCACGAAATCACACTTACTAACACTGCTACCCATAATACTATTCACACAATGCTTAGAAAGTGGCTTATAGCCCAGTATCTTTCAAATCTCAACTTCAATAGAACCATATACAGGGGCATATCAGTGCCATCTGGTATGCTAGAGGGTTCCTAAAGATCAAAAACACTAGTGAGCAAACTCCCAGAGAAATTAGAGCATATATCAACAAAGCACTTGAAAATAAACTCATTTCATTACCTGATACACCAGAGGAGATATCCCATGAGGTCCAGGAAATCTTATCTTTTCAACTTCCCATCAAGCTACGATCACACACTAAAGCCATGGTAAATGCTTTAAGAAGAATTTACAAATTCTCAGAGCTCCCTGATGCATACTTCGTCAAACTTCCTCAATTACCCTCTCACTATAATGAATTCCCACCCAACTTGTGCCAATTGTTCCCCCTTCACACAGATCCTCACTTCAGTACCTTTCTTTGTACAAAAGAAAGCTTGCTGACTCATATACTGTTACCAAGATCCCAGACTCATTCTTTGATTTACCACCAAAAAAGATACCCCTTCCTACAACATACCAGGAGCTCAACCATAAAGTTCGAAAATTCTTCCCTTT